ATATATATATATATATATATATATATATATAATGGTATGAAATATGAAGAGATTTATTGTAAATGTAAACAAAACAGCATCAGTAAGGCCGTTCTTAACTGCGAAACTGATGGATATTTCCCGGAAACATAAAGGGATTTTATCCTCCCTTCACCCCTTCACCACACCCACAGAGAGAAGAAAAAAAAAAAATACAAGGAAAGAAAAAAAGAAAGAAAAACACATGGTTGTGTATGGACACGAACACTTGCATATTGGCTTCGTAGTGATATGCCATAGAGTCACCTGAGAAAAGGAGGGGGAACCGTGTGATTTTCTTCTCTTTTTTTTTTTAATTTTTTTTTTTTTATTATTTGCTTTAAGTGTGATTCTTGGCTGTTTTTTCGTTAGGTTTGTTTGTCTATTTGTGACTGAGTGTGGCTGTTTTTTTTTTTTATCTTTTCTTTCTTGCTGTGTACTTTATGTGGTGTTTTTTAATGGTTTTCTTTCTTTTTTTGTATTTTTGTACCATTTTTTTTTTTCGTTTTCTTTTGCTGATCCTGTTGATTGGAATTTTGTACACATCTAATAACACCCGCATACTTGTGCACGAATGAGTACATATACCCGAGGTGGGTATATATATATATATATATATATATATATATATACATTTATATAGATATAGTGTCAGTCTTGGTGTGCGTCTAGTGTTTAGATGTTCTTATGTATTTGAGAAATAACAACAAAAGAAAATACACATTGTATACACCAAGTGTTCTTTTTTTTTCCTCTTTGCCATTGAGACTCTTCTCAGTGAACAGAAGGAAACAATACGTGAATGTACGTAAGAGAGAGTATTTTCTCCATACACAACCTGTATATGGGTCTCTTCTCACACTATGTGAGAGTATTCGTGTGGCGTACATCGAGTAGAAAAAAGGAGAAAATATAACGAGCATGATGAAGGCAATGAAAACGACAGAAAGTCGAGTAGAAAACCTGAAGAGGAACAACAACAACAAAAAAAAAAAAAAACGGTTGTATATAAATAAGGAAAGGGCATCACTGTACCAACTTGGGATGATCGTGTCCCCTTTGTTTTTTTTTTTTCTCTATTTTTAAATTTTCTTTTCTTTTTTTTTTTTTTTTTGTATGGCACTGTTGTTGATAGGGCCATATTGTTGAACTGTGTTTTTAGCCCTCTTTTGTACTGTTGGCGTATCTTATCTGGGAGGGTGGGTTTAATTCATTTTGCACTTTTCTTTTTTTTTTTTTTTTTTGTTTAATCGCCAGCATTATTATCATTATCATTATCATCCATGGCTTATTTTTGCCAGAAGGAGTGTTTCATTTTTTTTTTAAGCAAAAAAAAAAAAGAAAGAATTATTTCTTTTCTTACGTTTTTTTTCTATTTGTTTTCAGTTCTTATTTCCCTGGCTGGAAATAAAGGGCGAAAAGAAGAAGAAAGAAAAAACAAAACGGATATGGAAAAGAGAGTTTTATTTACTTATTTACTTACTTAATTTTCTTTTGATTATCATCTACCTGTTATTATTATTATTAATATTATTAATATTATTATTATTATTATTATTATTATTATTATTATTATTATTATTATTATTATTATTATTTTCGTTATCATTCCACTGCGTCTATTTGGTTGTGTTTCTGATATTGTGTCGGTTCACTGTTTTTCTTTCTTTTCTTTTTTCCCTTTCTTTCTTCCTTTGTTTGAATACATCTCACATGCATGGGGTTGATGGGGGAAAAGTGAGGAATACGCGTTTGGTGGATACCATTAACCCCTCACCCTCACCCCAAGAAAAGAAGAAAAAAAAAAAGGATATCCAAAACAACAACAATAGTCATAATAATATTACCAAGAGTACATCAAACCGAAAAAAAAAAAAGAAAAAGAAAGACAACCTCCTTCCCCAAAATGGCGCTACCTCGCCTTCTTCTTTTTCCTTTTCTCGTGGTTGTTATTTTTCTTCTCCATGTGCCGTGTGTGTGTGGGGAGTTCATGGGCTGCAATTATGATCTCTTCTTCGACACCGCCGTGACGTCGCTGGCGCTGCGGCGCTTTTACAACAACACCGGCGGGCCCCGCTGGCCGGCGCAGTTCCGCCGCGGGTGGGAGGCGGAGGAGCCCTGCGCGTGGGACGGCAACGAGCGGGCGCACCCCCCGCCGTACGGTGTGCGCTGCGTGAACGGCGGCTGGCACACCCTCCCGCCCCGCGCCGACGGCGGGCTGCTCTCGATGGAGCACTACAGCGGCGAGGCGGAGGGGGAGATCCCGCGGGAGTTCAAGGCGTTTCAGATGACAAGCGCCATCGGGCTATCGTACAATAGACTCAACGGCACCATGTGGGATACGAGCTATCACTGCTTTTTGCAGCACCTGGATGTCGCCCATAATCGTATTAGTGGAACTCTGCCAGATGACTTTATGGTTCGTAATATACACGCAGAGATCATTAATATGGCATTCAATCAACTCTCAGGTACACTCCCACGCTCACTAACAAGACTCACGAGTCTCGTCGTCCTGCTACTCGACCACAACAACTTTACTGGTGAAATCCCTGATTTCAGTTATCTACAACACCTTCACCATCTCTCACTTGGCTACAATAACTTTACGGGTCGTATCGGTACGTGGTTGCGTAACATGAGTACTCTAGGTTGGCTTGAACTCGAACATAATAAACTGCAAGGACCACTTCCTCCACTTCCACGCAGCGTCACACGTGTGAATTTCGCTGGAAATAATTTTACAGGAGCAGTTCCGGAAAGTTATGGTAAACATGGTTATCTTCGCTACTTTAATTGCACAGGATGCACTCTAACTTGCCCTCAGAAGGATATGCTTGCCCATCTTCGGTACTCCTCCCATTGTACAGGTAGTGAAAATGTACCGGTGGAAAATAAAACCAGTTGATTTTTTGTTGTTGTTGTTGTTGTTACTGTTGTTATTCTTGCTTGTTCTTCCGTACTTTGTGTATGTGTGTGTGTGTGTGTGGAGTGGGGAGAAGCTATATGTGTGGGATTCTGAATAATAGATGTCATTAAACGGCTCTGATACATGTTTTTGCTTTTTTTTTTTTTTTTATTCCCTCCATATATATCTCTCTTGGTGAGAGAAAAAAATGGACTGTATGATCGTAGTGGGGAAAGGAATTATTAAAAGTATTGAAGTGAAATGGTGCTAAATTTGTCGATATGCTATCTCTGATGTTGTGTGTACTTTTTCCTCTCTCTCTCTCTCTCTCTCTTTGTATTGTATGTCATTTCCTGTTTTCTCAGTACTGTTTATTCTCTCTTTTTTATTAATTTTTGTTATTTTTTTTTTGTTGTTTTTGCTTTTTCTGTATATACTTTTTTTTTTTTTTTTCCTTGTAGAGGTGTTACTAGTGTTATCTCTGTAGTAAACAATGGACGCGAACGTGCCGGCTGCATTTCTGGCGAGTCTCGTGGGCAGAAAAGTGCATGTCAAGAGCAAGTGGGGTCCTGTTTACGTTGGTACATTGGTCAGCTGTGATCCTTACATGAATCTTCAGCTTCGGGACACAGTGGAAAAGGCGAAACAAGAAACAGAACTTGGAGAAATGCTTCTGCGTTGTAATAACGTGCTTTACATCCGTGAGGCACCACAAGAATAGGTGGATGCAATCACATGATGATAATAAATTTATCAAGGCCAATCCGCCCCTCACAGAGTCACACTGTCTCTCTTACATACAAAGCAGAAATGAGAAGTAGTAATAATGAAGATACGATGATGACAATGGTTGGTGATGGCGGTGGTGGCACCAATTAAAAAAAAAAAAAAAAAAGGAGAGCAACGAATCACGTAGAAGAACATTGTCTTCAGTGGTAAAAGAAAAAAAATGAAACGAAAACATACTTTTTTTTTTCATTTTCTTTTGCTGAATCTTCCTTTTTTCTTTAAATGTTAAAAGGTGAGGGAAATGGATGTTGATTTACATGCTTTATTTCTTTTTTTTTTCTTCCTTTTCTTGCTTCTTATGAATGTATGTGTGTGTTTGTGTATGTGTTTTTTATCTCTAAAAGATATTAACCAACACTGTTTATTTCATCTAAAAATATAAAATGACACACCTTCCTACTAAGTGGGCTGAGCGTAAAGACAAGCTGTACATCACTCTTCAAGTGAGTGGGGCCACAGATGTTGATATTAAGTTCACAGAGAAGACCATCAGCATCACTGGAAAGGGTATTACCCCGAAATCCTCAGAACCACATGATCTGAAGGACGAGATCACACTGCTCAAGGAGATCGTCCCTGAGAAGTCCACCTTCAAGGTGTTAGGTGTTGCCATCCAGGTGTGCGCTGAGAAGAAGGAGGAGGGGTACTGGAACAAGCTCGTGGACCAGCCAACCAGCCGCACAGCCAATTGGCTCTCCGTTGACTGGAACCTCTGGAAGGACGAGGACGACGAGGATGAGGCCCCTGCCGGCTTTGGCGACTACGGCGATCTCTCCAACATGCTGAACATGGGCGGTATGGGCGGCATGCCTGGCATGGGTGGCCTGGGCGGTATGGAAGGCATGGAGGGCATGGACGACTCCGATGATGAGGAGGAGGAGGGCACGGCCGAGGCCCCAGCCGCAGACCTCAAGGATCTCGACAAGTAAGAAAAACGGAATATATATTTATATTACAACCGAATGAGGGGGGTTTGGTGTGCAGAAATAAAAGAAAAAAAGAAAGAAACGGAAAACAGAGAACAAGGAAAGAAACAAAAAAAAAGAAAAGGGAAAAACGAAAAAAAGAAAACAACGAAGGTACGTATGTGTTGGAGTTAAGGATAAGTGGGTGAAAGGAAAGGTAAAGTGATAGATCTTTGGTGCGTGTATTCTGAGCTTAATGATCGTAGAAGAGATAGAATAAATATTTTAATTGAAACCAAAGCAGAATGGGAGAAAAGGAAAACCCTAACCCTTCCAATCCCAATATCCTTTCCAAGTTTATACCTGCACCTGGGATATTATTAACCTTTTATTTATTCTTCTTTCTGTGGATAAAAATACTTAAAATATTTAGATCGTTTGAATATAAACACCACACCGATCCCATTATTCTAAGATAAACGTTGAGTACCTTAGCTTAAAAATAAAAAAGGTGTATATACACATTTGTTCTCTTTTTGTGTCTGCTCTTTTTTTTTTTTTTTGTTTTTGTTTTTGTTAACCAGATTCTCTTTTCTTTTTCTTTCTTTCTTTGCTTGGGTGTGGGTCTGTTTTTCTTTCCCCCATTTTTTTCTCTTACGAAGGAAAAAAAATCAAAAAAAAGGCGTTATACGAATCAAAAAGAGAAGAATAATTCTGATTTGACCGTTTGAAAAGGACCTACAAAACAAAAAGCGGAGGGAAGAAAAGAAAAAAAAAAAAAAATGGATGCTGGTCCTCTTTTGGAATCTTTAGACACTTTTTTTGGTGAAGGGGCAAACACTGATGCGATTGGAAATTTTCTTTCTGAAGAACAAAGTGTCATGCAAATGCTTGACAACCCTCACGACTCTCGGGAAGCGTTAGAGTTGTACTCATTATTCAAGCGATACTCCACACTTGTGGATTCGATGCTTCATACTTTTACTGAGCGAGAGGCAGCCAAGGGCACCTCTGTAAGTTTGGAGCAACTTGCAGATGCAGTAATGCAGGAGTGGAAGCAAGATCAAGACTATGCCAGATATTTATGTACAGCTTATGTTGCCGGGGCTTTGGATTTTGATTCTTTTAAACAACTCGTACGAGATGTAAATGAAATAACAACGTACCCTGTTGGAGATGAGCTTTCAGATGATGATAATGATGATAATGAAAGTGAGTCAACATCAGATGATGACCAAGAACGTGATGATGCTTGAAGTGGAGTTTAATTTTACTTATTTATTCTTTTCCTTTTTTATACTGTATTATCCTATTTGAGACGGTTACTTACTTTGAGCGAAATACCCCTTGTGTGATGTATGACTAAAATAAAAATAAAGAAAAAAAGCAAAGAAGAAAAAGAAATAAAAAAAAAAAAAAAACTCCTTTTTTTGTGTGTAAAATATGTTTCTAATGATAATAATTTATTTTTCTTTTTGTTGTTGTTGGTGTTGTTTTATTTTTTTATTCCTTCAGGAGTCTGCATGAATGGACAAGTCGGAGGAGTTAGACAAATCGCAGGAGCTGGACCCTTTTCCTCAAGGGAAAAGCACTTTTGCGATGAGTTTTGATCCTATTATTCAGCAACGCACATACGATAGTAAAGATATTATGGGTCTTTTAAAAGGTGTAGCCATATTAGATCTTAGTAGTGATATTGTGTTGCTGAAACCTTTTTCAAATACATACTTGAATGAGATGGAGGCATCACCTGCGTTTAAATTATGCTTGAAGGAGTATGAACCACGGTTATCAGTGAAACCAATCAAACGAAAACACTTTCACTGTCTGCCACTTCGTGTGGAAAATGTCATTATTGCCCTCTCCGTTAGTTTATGGCGTACAACACTGCGTAGCAATGATCTTATTGAAGCTCTCAGAGAGCGTTTTTTATCTGGTTTAGATGAAAAACATCGTTCTAAGAAAAATAAATTACCTGTTCGAATGTTGTTTAGATTTCTTAATGAAATGTCTGTGGATGTTGTTGTGATGTCTATGGAAAAGGAAAAAATAGCCGTATTTCGCGCAAAGTCCTCTCAACAGAAACCACTCTCTGAATCTAATGATCCAAAAGTGGGAATATCTCCAGCGAAAGAACGTACACTTGTTGCATTAGAATTTGATGCTGCTTGTGGTATATGGTCTCCTCTGCAATTATCACCTCCACCTTCAACACCACTGTTGTCGATGGTTTCACATGGTAAGCAATCTCAGGTGAGTGAACAAGAAACTTTTGATGAAACGCGATCACAATCGCAAGCCCTTAGTACTATTAATATGATGAGATCAAATGCTACCCCATTAACCTTTGAACTTGGACAAAGTAGTAATATGGATACTATGGTATTTGATCGTACAGTTTATAATCCACAAATGGTACCTCTTAAAGCAAATGGTGATGTCAATAATCTTGAAGATGGAGAGAGTGGAAAGGAAAATGCACAACATTCACCTTTTGCAGGAATGAGGTATCCAAATATTAATCAATTAGATCTTCAATTATGGGAAGTTTTACGACGTGGATTACATCCAGCATTGCGCCGTAATCGTATTCGTTGTATAGTTACATTTCCCCTTGCATTGATAGCTTTTTGTTTGGGTTTGGCTCTCATTATTTATTTAAGAATTTCTTTAAAAGCATGTTTTAATGATACTTCAACAGATGTATGTGTATACGCAAATGAAGAAACATCTATAGAAAATTGTACAATACCATTTTTTAATAATACGAATAGTTCCGTCCTTGATGAATCTGTTAACGCTTTTTTATTTGGTTATGCAGCAAGTCCTGGTACTTTTATTGTAGCTGTTACATGCTGTATGTTTGCAGCGGCACTTATGGCCATTGGAGTAAATTACTTTACAACACGGGCCATAGCTACAGGAAGTACACAACCTCTCTTTTATATTATTATAATGGTTGCACACGTTATCCTTGGAGTCGTTGGGTGTAGTTTTTCTGCATATGCACTTTATGTTCTTTCACATGAATCACACCAAATCTCCTGTTCTTGGTTTGATAACGACATGAAGGTTTATTGTATGGCGGCAATGAATATCTGTCCAGGTATTATGATTGAAATTCACTTGCAGCCTATCATCCCTATTGTTCTTACTCTATCTATTCTATTATTATGTTTCTGCAGTGTGCAGTTTATCGTATCTCTTGTACCGCCCATGCCAGACCACAACACGATAGCAGCATTAGAAAAGGCAAAGTCCGAGACGTATGTGTTTTACCCGAGTGCATATGCCCCAGACGGTATTTCAAAAGTAAATAAGTTGTGGTTACGTGCACGTATTACCCGTCGTCTCCGCATGCAACTGCGCGAAGAGGTGAAATTACATAATTTTCTTCTCACACGTAATGCCACTATAGGAGAAATGATGCGGGCCAATCGTGCCCAAAGCCTCGGAGAAGGGGAATATCAAGAAACCACTTTACATAAACAACAAGAGCAGAAGTGGCTTGGTGAAAGTCTTGAGAGACCATTACATTATATGGTAATGATAGATGAGTCTAATAATGTGAATGGTTTTACCGGGAAACAGCACCAGCACCAACAGAAGAGAAGTAATGAAGAGAGAGTGGCAGGGGAGAGTAAAAGGATACGCCGAGAAATACCGTCAAAACTTCTTACGGAGGTGGAAGAGATTAGTCATAGAGTTAAAGCTTCAAAAAAAGAATTAAAGCTTCAAAAAAATCATATAGAAACAGTTCGCTAAAACATAAGAATTATGTAAAGGAGCTTTTTTTCTTTTTTTTTTTTACTGGTAATGCTCTTACTCTTGGTTTCGATGTTTCTTAGAGAGGGAAGAGGGGTGGGGAGTAAAGAAAAAAAAAAAAGAAAGAAACATATATAGAAAAAAAAATTGTATACTTAACAAAACAAGATAGATGCACATCACCTTTTTTTTAAAAAGGTGAGATGTAATTTTACCAAATAGAGATGTTTTCTCAAGTTATTATTATTATTTTTTTTTATTTCATTTTGCTTCGTTTCATGACTCTCTTGGTGTGCTGAATCGAAAAGAAGAAGTCCAAAAAAAAAAAAAAAAACAGAAATAAATGTACACATTCACACGTGGCTATAGATATAACTATCAAAATATATACATATATCCATGTATGTATCATGTATATCTTCTATTTATTTATCTCCCTTTCTCTCGTTCTCTCTTTCTCTGTGTATGTACATGTGTGTGTGTGTGAAAGTAGTTCCGGAACTTTGTAATGGAAGTAAATGTGAAGGGGGCTCACCTCGTTGCCCGATGGCTGTGGGATTGCCGTGAAGATACATGCGGGATCTGTCGGCAGCCATTCGAGGCGTGTTGCCCGCAGTGCCGTATTCCCGGCGATGAGTGTCCAATTCTCACTGGGCGCTGCACACACACATTTCACATTCACTGCATTGAACGCTGGGCGGAGCGTGAACAGGGGAATGCAGCGTGTCCCATGTGTCGACGGCCGTGGGAGTTCTGATAATGACAGGTATACCGTGTGTTTGTGTGAATAGAGTGAATGAGAAGAAGAAAAAGAGGAGGGAGGGAAAGGGAGTGGGGTGCCTTCTTTTTTTTATTTTTTCGTTCTTATTCCTTTTCTTTGCGTGACAACATAAAAAGAAGAGTCTTTTCTTCTTTTTTTTTTGTTTTGTTTCCTGTTTATATGTCTCTGTGTGTGTTCCAGTTCGTCTAATATATATTCCTTCTTCATTCTTATTATTATTATTATTATTATTATTATTATTATTATTATTATTATTATTATTATTATTATTATTCTATCTATCTAAGGTACATTAGGTAGGGGTGTTGAAGACTAATGCGACGCTCCTGTTTTGCCCTTCTCGCACAGGCGGCGAAGACCAAAACATCGCTGGCCACATCATCCACAAACACAACCAGCGATGATGATACCCACACAGAGAAAGGCACCACCACAGAGCAGTTATCAACTTATGTTCCTACAGCCTCAGAGGCACCGGAGTTGCTGCAGCCGTATGTGGAGCCAACACCATTTGTGAGTGCCAAACGTCTTCAGGTATTCTGCGCCTCACTTGGTGTTGGTCTTGCCACTATCTGCAGTGCATACTATCTTGTAAGTAAGTCTATGAGCATCAATCAGGAGGAGGAACACCTTCATGTACAGTCGATAGTGGAATCCAATCGGTTGGCAATGATGGATCCTAAGAGTCTTATCCCTGACTTTACCGCCCCTAGTTCTTTCAATGAATTAAAGGAAAAGATGCGGCAGCATGAGCGAGAACTTGAGCGGCAACAAGCTGAAATTAATCGCAATACTGTAATGCTTCATACAGAGGCTGTGTTTCGGATGAAAGTGTGGTGGAATAAATGTCTCACACATTTGCAGGAGGCATTTGATGAATTTGGTGTAGCTATACAGAAACGAAAAGAAAGGGCAGCTGTAGCAAATATTAAAGATGTGATTGATGCGGAGGGGTACGAATTAGTAAATTTACGTAATGGCAAGACTCACATTTGGTGAGGTTCAAATAATGTGAATTCTGTGAAGTGTGTGCATGCTTGAAAAGGGTTCAAAAAAAAAAAAAAAGAGAGAGAGAGAGATAAGGATAAAAGAAATGAAAAAGAGAAAGAAAGAGAAAAAGAAAGAAAAAAAAAAGGTATGAGAAATACGAGGTGTGTGAGAGTTCCCCTTTATGTTTTTTTTTTCTTTTTTGTAGGGACAGAAAAGTTTGCGCTTTAGTGACATCATATCACCTGTATTTTTAGTTGTTCTCATTTTCTTTTTTTTTTTTTTGTATGGTGGGAGAAGTAAGAGAAAAGAGAATGTCATTTCTTGGGAAATCATGGACTGCATGTGTTTCTTTATTTCTTTTCTTTTTTTTCTTTTTTCAGTACTCTTTCATTTTCTTGTTCCTTATTTGTTTGATTGTACCCCTCAGTACATGTAGGAGACGGTGAATTAACTGTGTAGTCTTTACATCGAAAGAAATGAAAAGGGAAAAAAAAAGACTCCCTTCTTTCAAAATTGTTATTATTATTATTATTATTATTGCTTTTCGTTTGTATTGATAGATGATTCTGCAGTTCCCCCTCTTCTTTTGATTTCTTGGATTTTTTTTAAGGAAAAAAATGAAAGAGGAAACGAAAGGGAAAAAAATATGGGCTATTGTAGAGAATGGCTATACTTTGCGAAAGGGTTTTGTCTTCTACGGCGCATACCATAGTGATTGGCGAAACCAACTTGTACACATATTCTTTGTACCGACTATTTTTACATCTGTGTTGAGTTTCTTGGCTCGTGTGCAAATAACTTCATCCATTGATCTCTCACAAATAGCGGCAGGAGTTTATGCTATTAGTTTTATTAAGATGGAACCTGGTGCAGGAATTCCATACGCGGCAGTGATTGCATTCATGCAGTACATTGCCTCTCATCATTTAAAGCAGAGACCTAAACTGTCATTGGCTATTAACGTAACTGGATGGATCATACAGTTTATTTCACACGCCTTCTTTGAGAAGCGTTCACCGGCGCTATTAGATGACCCGTTTCAAGCCCTTCACTCAAGTGTCTTCTTTGTATGGTTAGAAGTGCTTTTCTACTTTGGCTATAAACCGGAACTAAAGAAGGAGCTTGACATGTTAATAAGTAAGAAAAAGGTAGAAATAGCTGAGAAGAAGGGAGAAACTATAGGTAAAAAGGAAACTCTTGTAGTTCATGGAAATGGTGTCTGATTATTAAATGTAGTTGTTGTATAAATATAATATATATGGTTCATCGGGGATTCTCTGTATTGCTATTTTTTCTTCTTTTTTTTTTATTATGAATGAATGAATGAATCAATAATGAGAGCGAACAGATAGTTATATGTTGATAACTCATTTGTTAATGCGATTTTGGTGGGAAGGTGATTTTTGGGTGTGTATTTGGTGTATGTACTTGTATTTATGTAAGAAAGAATCTCCAGAAGAAAGAAAAAAAAAGAGAGAGAATAATAATAATAATGATAATAATAATAATAATAATAATAATAATAATAATAATAATCTCTTCCTTTTCTTTCTCTTCGTTTACACTACTACTATATTTAAAGATAGTGAGAGTGGGAGTCCTGAAAGTCTCATATTCCCCACTATATGAGTGCCACATCACTACCGCCAACCTGTGGCGAGGTGATGAATGTGCCGGGCATTCCCTGCGTGGGTTGTGTCTCGGTACTTCATTACAATACACACACTGCCACCGGCTTTTCTTGTTGTGTTATTGCGTCTCAGGAGGAAGTGTGTGTGTTGGGGCCGGATATGCACAGAGGCGGCGGGGCATTGACGTCTGTGCAGCTCTGGCGTATAAAATCACAGAGAAAAACAGCACAGATCACATCCCTAGTGGCATTTCTACTAACACCACCCACATTATCATCATCATCATTATCACCATCACCACCGCCGCCAAGGTCTTCAGAAGAAATGGGGGAAGAATCAGTAATAATAGATGAAGTGTGTGCTGTTGTTTCCTGGGAAGAACAAAATGAAGAAGAAAGTGAACCAAATTATCATATAACTGCACTTTTCTTTCCACTGGTTCGTACATTGTTATCGGAAGAGGATGTACCAGTCGTGGTGAAGGAAACATCATTTCTTCATGAGAGGGGTCAGCAACGTGTTTTTCGATTGTTCTATCACCCACAATTTTCTATGAACTTTAGTGAAGGCATTCACGTCGTACTCTGTAGTTGCTATAATGAACAAGCGGAAAAGGAAAATCTTCTTTCGCATAGTGAAGAACGTAATCGGCATGTTCTAACTCCTGGTGACTCACGTGGTGTCTTTTCAGGGGCATTCTCCTTTCTTGTATGTAGTTCAACTGCGGGTGAGTACTCCAGATGGGAAGTGGCGTGGCATCACACACCACCTGCCTGTGTGGCTTCATGGATGGTGCGATCCCCATGTAATGGTGTGATCTGCTCTGTGGCGGTACAACAACAACAAAAACAACAAAAACAAGAACGAGAAGAACAACAACAAACATCTCATGTGATGTGTGCAATGGGAACTACGAACGGTCGTGTGGTACTTCTTCGCGCTGATGGTAGCAGTTCGACACACCGCTATGGTGGACCCATTGTTGATCTTGCCTTTGTTCATACAGGAAGTATGCATGGGGATGAACGTTATCGAAATCGCATCGTTACAGAACTCCTACAACAACAATCGTTGCAAAAAACAGCATGTACCACTTCGGCTTTTACACTAAAGAATACACAGTGTGAAAAAAAATCAATGACTCTTGTCATTCTTGACGCTTTGGGTCGTGTTATTCTCCTACATTCTGTGAATAATAACAAACCGAACGTACGGGTGGTTCCTGATATTCAACAATTCATTACTCTTCCTGGGAATGGTATATCGCTTGGAATCAACTCAATTGACAACCATGTCACCAAAGAACCAGTAGTTGACGGTTCAGTTGCCATAAGTTCAAAGAATTTTTTTGACATCTCCTCACTTCGTCTTTTCTTCCTTCGTCGAAAGACAAAAGATGTTCGGCATGAGCTGCGAGAGAGAACTGTTAGTCACATCTCTACAAGTGATTCAGGTGTCATTCAACGCCCTGTACGCGACAATGCTTTCCTCGCAGGACATGTTCTCAGTCGAGGTCTTTTGTGCCTTGCCACAACAGCAGGACCCTGGGGACGAGTGGAGCTAATGGTTAGCACTATGGGTCAATCAATAGTCTCTATTCCTTTTGATAAAAACGATGGGACTTTTTCCATTGCAGGATTTGTTGTAACTCCAGAACCAATGTTTTTCGTTGGTCTTGTGGATTTTTACAACACAGGTGTGGAGGAGCTTGTGATGGCAGGAAGGTATCACATACTTGTTGCAAATCGATCACGTCAACAGCAGAAAGCCAAGGCGGCGTTGCTACTAAGACTTCTTTCAAAGGCTGAGTGAAACTGTGCCTTGACACAAAAAAAAAAAAGTGTTGGAAGTGCAATTGAGAGATTGATAAGCGTTACTTTTGTACGACTTGTTATTTTATTACATTTTTTTTTCTTTTGCGGGGCTTCTGTGAAATCTTCTTTTTTTTCTTGTTGTTGTTCGTGCTGTTGCTGTTTGAATGCTAACGCCAAAAATAAATGCGTGGGGTTGCACTACTTTGTATAATATAGCCTTGGATTTGAGTATCTTTCTTCTTTGATTTCGCTTTTCTTGGCTATTCTTTACTAGAACACCATTTTTTAAAAAGTTTCTATGAGACGAACTTCGGTTGTTGTTTTTTTTTTTTTTGTATTTTTAACGTTTAAAACAAGAAGGGGCTGTAATCCTATGTGCGAATAACCAGTGGATCTCTTTATGCGAACAATTGGGGTGATACATAATTTCGAACAGCTAAACCCTAGCTGTTTTCATTGTTTGCGAATAATGATACTTTTTTTTAACAAGAGGGAGTAATGGATAGGGTCTCGTTATGTTCTTCGATGTCTCGGAATTCGAGTCCCATTGCACACGCACGCACAGAATGCAGAAGATGTGTCTGGTTTCATCTGTAATAATTGGCCATTGCGTTAATATATTTTAGGGGGTCGGCTGTTAACATCAATCCAATTTTTTTTTTTTTTTTACGAGTGGACAAGTGGGTTGGGTCTCCTTTTTGTTCTCGGTGTTTGGTCGCTTCTCAGAAGGGCAATTGTAGTCAACCATATACAGAACTTCTGCACCACACTAGTGACCTTAATTTCATTTTTTTTTTCTTTTTTTTTTTCTGGGGAGAGGGACGTTTGTCAGTTCTCTTCTTTTTTTTCCTCACCAATGTAAAGAGCATGGTACGAATGTTTGTTGGAAAAAAAAAAAAACAGGAAAACAGGAAAATTGTTATTCATTCTCTCAGTTGGTATTACGATGAGTTACATGTTCTGAGTAGAGTGTTTGAAGACAAGATTATGGTTATAAAGCAACAATTTATCACATCGATGAAATACCGTTTCTTAATTTTTTTTCTAATCGAGTGTAATAAAAATATCAAAAATTAGACGTGATGGGGTAAGAGCTTCATCTAAAGCCCCTAGGTCCAAGAAATTGGATGCATACGTGTAAGGCTTCCTCTTAAGTACCCCATACCATCCTCACTCTAGACATCATAATTAAATCCAAAAAAAAAAAAAACATCAGTCAATATTGCAAAAAAACATATGGACTACTGTATAAAACAACTCGGTTTTTATTTTTTACCATTTTATTTCCGTAAGCAGACGTAAATTGAGTTATGACCTAGATAGTGAAGATTTATTCTGGGGTATTTTCTGCATCCGTTACTTGGGAAAGCTATCCCTTTATTTTGTTACTTTGTTACTCCTCTTTTATGAAAATTGCAGGTGGCTTGGAATAAAGGATTGGTTTGATTTCCCCCATGTCGTATGCGAGAAGGGATACAGGTACAATGATATATAAATTGCTGTCATCTCTCTCTTTGCTTCGTTGTTGTTGTTCCTCCTGTTTTCGTTTCCCTTATGGATTGTGTGACAATGACTAAAACCATTCATGAAAATTATAAATTTCTGAGTTTCTGGGCCACCAAAGGGAAGCTGTTTAGGAGGTTTTTTCAAGGTAGCAAATAGAGTGAGTTGTGTGAAAGGGAAAAGAAGAAATGTCCTTTCGAACTAGATTCCATCGGCGGAAACTACATATATTCGCACTTCTATGGTTTCTTCTGTCTCTGACGTTATTAGTAATATTTTTCTTTTTATTATCGCCGTTGGTTCGTGAGGGTGCGGTTTCACAAGAACCCAACACCGCTGCTGTGATCGCTGGTGCTGGGACAGTGCCGCCCCCTGGACTGATGCAGGTAGAGTGGGGTGCATCACCGGAGGTTGTGCAGGCGCTCTCTATTATAAATGAACGCCTGGAGGACTTCCCCAAGCAGGTAGAGGCACGGCTAAAGATGGTGCCAATCGTCAATGAGATAAACCGATCCTGCCATTTCGTGTACCCTCTTAGTACAAATATTACAAGGTATGAGTATGGATCAGGAGTTTCTCCCAATCGTAGTTTGGAGACACCACAAGGGTTACTTAACGTTATTAAGCAACGCTCCAGTGACGATGTATTTCTCTTTTCCGGTGCCTTACCTGCTATGATAAAGCAAACACCAGTGGTTCTT